AGAGGTGGAAAAAGACAAAAAAAGATCTCCTGGCAAATTGATACATGGGCTGAAGTCCTAATAGAATCTGAATATGAATCCGTTTTAAAGCACAGTACCATCCAGACCAAAGAATACTAAAAATTAGAAAGAAAAAAAAAGATTTATTATTAGGAATATTAGAAAAGATCTTTGTAGAATATCTCAAGAATCAGGAGATCTTTAATGAAATACAAGAAAGATTCTTGGGAAGAAGACCAGGCTTTAAGAAGAAAAAGAAGAATAGAAAAACCAAGAAAAGAAGAAAAGAAAACTCTCATACCCAAACACAAAAGAAAAAGAAGCAGAGCATTTTGACCAAGATCCAAAAATAAAGAAACAAAAAGAAGATCAAAGATACTCTAAGGGAAAAAGAACATACAGAAGAATACTCCTAGAAGAAACTGCTAAAACAAGTCCTCGAAAGAAAAAAAGAAATTACAGAGCTATATGACAGAAAAGGAAAATTATAGAAAAAGATATAAGAAGACTCTTTGGAACCGAGTCTTGAATTGGAAAGAACAAGTTTAACTGGAAAAAGAGGAAAAGGAAATCCAAATACAAATGAGAGAATTTTGGCAATAACTTGGTGCTGAAAAAGAAAATTACTTTGTTTATTAGAAAATTAGATTTAGAATACTATTATAAAAAGGAGGATAGTTTAGTAAAAGAAATTTGCCAATTTAATTTAGTTAAAAATTCTTTTATTATGAAACTATTTTGTGATGGTTTTCTAGGCTAGCTTGGTGTAGCTCTTCGATACGGGCAATAGCCTTAACCAATAAGACAAACCAGACTTGGGCAGCCAAGTGATATCAGATCTGTAACTTAAATAGTTTAATTGTACTTTGTGCATATGCTTTGATCTAATAAAAATACTGGCAAGGCTGCCGATATATACAAAAAAAAAAATAAGAAGCTATTGATATACTAAAAAATCAATCATATTTTTTCTGCTAGTCATCAAAACACAAATTTTTACAAAAGAAACAAAATACAAAATCAACAGAACTCGAAAACAGCACTAAGAAATAAAGTTTACATGACTAAATAAAGAGGAGAAAGACACAAACCAACACTCTGTTTCTTAGAAGACTGGAGTTGAGAAGTCAAACCTAACAATATATAAAAAAAAACTTAAAAATACAACAGTTTTTCACTATTTGTAAACAATTTTCTGGAGAAAGCACTTGACTCTGTAGTATAGATCTGTTGATATAGTACAATCATGCAGTATATAACAAAAGGAAAACAAAATAAATATATTAAGCAACATATAACAAACAAGATGATAAAAACAACAACAATAGAAAAGCTGAGTTATGTGAAGCACAAGGAAAAAGAATTTTCTAAAACTAAACAAATAACACAAATCAGAACAGCTGCAAAAATCGTAAAAAAAAATCCTATAGATAAAACAGACAATATAAAAGCATAGCAAAAGTTTGTTTTGATTGGCTAAAATTGTAATTTTTAAAATACTTTTATTAATAAAAATCATCATGCTATATAAAAATTTTTTTGTAATATGTGATAAAACAACAAACTTAAGCAACTTATTTTTCATCTTTAAATCTACTGTTTTTTAATGAGAAATATAGTAAGATATAGAAGTTTAAGAAACTAAATAAGAAGTAAATATTTTGAAAATTAAGAAAAATAGTTCTGCATTCTAAGCAAATAGTAAGTAAAATTGTAAAACTTTGTCTTAACTAGACTTGTTTATTTTATAAATAAAAAAAAAACACTATTTTGAATTACTGTTCTAAAACTTTTAATTGTATTTATTTAGGTTACGAATATAATTTATAAATATAATGCTTATATATACAAAAAGTTGTAATAGCGATAGTGTTTAGAATTGTTTGAATATGCATAATAATATTTTGCAAACTAAATTAAAGTATTTTTTATAAAATAATATACTTATCATTAAATAAATAACAGATATATAACTTTATAAAATTTAAATTAAAAGTTAATATTAAACTGAATAAATATACTATAAAAGCATTTTAAAAAGTATTAAAAGTTAATAAATAATAAACTTTATCAAAGTCAACTCTCCTTGATGATTACTCGTACCAAATATTTGACTAACAAAAATAGAAAACTTGTTGGAAAAAGTAGAAAAGACAACTAAAATAACGGTTTTTACAGAAGTCAAGGCTTTAGGTTGTTTCGTTCAGACTTCTCTGTATATACAGCAAGCAAGTTAAAAGTATTCTTGTATAAGATAACTGGTAGGTAGTACCCTTGTATAAAAAATTTTAATAGAAGCATCATTTCTGCTAACAAAGTTAAAGTTAGCTGGTCTAAAGAAGAACAACAAGCAAGTTTTCAATACATTCCCTTTTGAAATTTAAGGTTACCTGCAAACCAAAACCCTTTACCAAGACCCCACTATCTGTTTTTTACAAAATTTTGACAAAAAGTAGAAAATCTGGTATACCCCATCAAAAGATTGACAATAATAATTGCTGCCAAAAAAAGAAAGTTACGTACAGAAGTACATATTTACTTTGGGATAAAAAATATAATGATTGGTTTCTTTAAGAGGTTACGGTATTTACACCAAGATCTCTAGATCGCTAACTTTGCCCAGGAAACAAGCAATTGTGCATGAGAACTACGTTGCAGAATACTATGCCAAAAACCTGATTAGACCACAAGAGAAATTTCAAACTTGGATCTCTACTTAAGGATAGATATTTTATATATTCTAATATAGATATAAATAACTAGTATAGAGTTTAGTCTAGTTTATTTAGTAGTACTATATAATTTTTATAATCCGGCACAGGTTTAATAGTGCTATCTTTGTTTTCTTTTCTTTTATTTTGTTTTTTCTTTTATATGTTATTTTGGTTTTTTTTTGTGTTTAAATAGATCGAATTTGAATACTGAGATATCACCCCTTTTTTTCTTTTTTGCTCTTTGAATTTGTGTTTGTATTTCATTTTGTAAAAAGAAAAGATAATACTGATATGGCTTGTAGTACCAGCCAATGATCAAAGGATTCATACTTCTAGTAAGTTAGAGGTCTGGAAGGAAGTAAACGGCTACTAGATGATATTGCATCTGGGCTTTTAAGTTGAGTAAGTCACTATATGCAGTTAAAGAAATAACTAGTTAAGAATTCTTGTAATTTTTGCTTAGTTAATACTTTAATAAAACAATAGCAGGATGTACTAAAAAAAAAAAAAAAAGTAATAAACTTTATCTGAGTATAGCTAGTAATCTATTTGAGATATAATTAATATTTTTTTTGAGTATATATCCAAGAAATGATGTAAATATCAAAGAAACAGGTGTGGAGCATATATTAATATTCTTCTGCCTTGGAAAAAAAGGCAGAGTTTAAATATCTTTCAATAACACTATGTAATAATACTATTTACTATAATGCTATAAGATAATGTTATAAAATAACACTATAAAATAAAGCTATAATGCTAAACTATTGTACAATAATATAAATCACTATAATAATGCTATGTATTACTATTTAAATCATTATTATACAATAATAATGCTAAAAATAGTTAAAATCGTACTATTCTACAATAATAATGCTATGTATTACTATGAAATAATGCTATGTAATAATGCTATGTAATACTAATATAAATCATTATACAATAATATCTAAAATTAATAATATAGCCAAATAATTGTCCGAAGGACATTACTGTATAGGCATGGAGTACTCAATGTCTGTGTGTTCGCAAATCAAGAGTTTTAATTGGTTAATTTCTATCCAGATCAGTCTGAATAATAAAAAATATATGGTACACAAAATTTAACCAATTAAATTTAAGGTTACTGTAAACTAAAAAATCAAAACATCAAAATAAAAATTACAAACTAAGTTATTATAGCGGTTTGCAAAATTATGTGAAATTTGATAATTAAAAAGAAAAGTAATCATTAAACATTTTGTCAAATTTTGCAAACTGAAATTTTCCTAAATGCATATATGTCTAACTATCACCAAAAGATTAATTAAGTAATAAAAATAATTAGTGAAATTATTATTCCCGATTAATAAACTATTTGTCGAGTTATTTTTTTGTGCTTTACTACTATATATTATATTATAAAAATGTAAACAACACAGTAATCGATCTATAACGTATTTATATATGATTGGTTAAAAAAAAGTGATGTGGCTTTTTTATTAGATGATAATGCTTTATGTACTTTATTCTTCGTTGAATTTCGTAATTCGTCATGATTTTATCATTCACCATTTTACCAACCATCAGAGTAAGAACATAAAGTATTCAACTTATCACTTTTTCACTAGTTGTAAATGTTTATTATATGTGAAAAGAAAACCTCATGTAAACTGTCTTTGATATTAAAACACTTCTTTAAAATACAGACTTTTCAAATCCCATTATTTTTAAAATTTTGAGGAAAAATAAGGTTACATTAAGCCATATTAAAGTTTTTGTAAGATACTAATAGACTTTTTTAACTTATTAAATAGCTTTGTTCTATTTTGAATTAATGTTTTTACCTAATCTGCTTCTCTTTGGTTAGCATATACAAAAATTAAAGTAAGTATTTTATTAATTCTCATTATGCTTACCTGTAGCGAAATAAGTTCTAGTTCTATTAATTACAGAATAAACCCAGAATACTATATGTTGATATATATGCTTTATATTTTATGCCCAAAGCCGAACATGTAATATTGATTATTGATATAAATAAAATTTACTTTATTATGTATTAAAATAATGAAGATAAGTATTTATTCTATATTAAAACCTGTTGACATAAAAGACTCTAATAGAATATTTTATTCTAGTCTTATTTCTAGACCTATTAACCTTTTCTCTTCGAGAATTCATTCACGAAGTCTTTTATATTTTTGTATACATTGAAGTCTCTCAAATGAAAAATATTTAAAAATTATATCGCTAAGAGAACGAACCCAAGAGGTGGCCACAAATGATAAGCCTGCTACAAACTCATTTTTTCAAAGATAGATCATGGCTTTTGGTAAGGTCAAACTTTGAGATTTGTGTATAGTTATAGTTCACGTAAAAAGAAGGGGAACCTGCAAATGTGAACACATTTCAGATTTACCTTCCCATATGTACTATATAGGAGCAATTGAAATGACCTGAATACCTTCAGAAGTGGTAATGGTAGGTCCATTATATTTGGCAAATGCTACTAAAACAGCTGTAGGAAGTAAATTATTTTCATAATTGTCATTGAAAAAAATATCTTTTATGGTTCCTATTGTACTATTGATAAGACTAGCTGCTATTAAGGTCTATTATATTTGGCAAATGCTACTAAAACAGCTATAGGAAGTGAATTATTTTCATGATTGTCATTGAAAAAAATATCTTCTATAGTTCCTATTGCACTATTGATAAGACTAGCTGCTATTCAAAGATTTGTACTAAGCATGACACGTGCAACTTTGGCTAGCAGTATCTTTGCTTCTAGACCTTTGGTATCATCTGAATCTGCCTTTTTTGCCTCAGTTCTACCAAGTGTATGAATAGCACAAATCTTGGCAACTAGACAATTTAACATGTGAAGCTTGTTGATATTGATATTATTAATATCTATCCATTTCGATAATATACAGGTGGTACTTGAAAAGGTATCTTATTCTGATACAGTTAAATGTTCTGGAAGTCAAGTCATCATTGTTTTTCAGTCTAATTGAATAGATTTACCATCGCGTAAGTGTAATAAGAGATCTCAAAATTAACATTGTACTACTGATTCACTAGCTTGCAGTTGTACAATGTCAAGCTTATAAACTTTCTGAAATTGACTATAAACTATACGTCCATCTTCAGATATGGAGTTAGAAGAATAAGTCTTAGCATACATTAGAAGATTGCATACTGGAGGAAGTTGTCCAAAGTCACCTACAAAAATTATTAAACGACTACCGAAGGGAATATTGTGACAATTCGGAAAAGCCTAATGAAGTCGCAAGTCAATTAAAGCAAGAATGTGACGCTTCACTATGCTCATTTCATCGATAATAATATATATCACGTTCCATAACTTATTTTGAAGCCATTTTAGCTGTTCACCTACTAAGTTAAAATTTTTTATACCAATAGAGATAGAAAGAACAGAGTGGAAAGTACTGCCTCAGATATTAAATGCTGCAACACCTGTTGGTGCAAGCACTAATAATATTGGTGAATCATTTTCAAATAGACCATTTTTACTTGCTATTTTATAGAGCCAATTTCTGACTGCCTTAATTAAGTAAGACTTTCCAGTTCTTGTAGTATCTATGATTATAATTTGTAACAGCTTTACCTTTTGGCCTGAGATTATCATGTGATAATGAGATTTGATCTGAGAAAATACCACTCTTTGTTTATAATTTAATATCTTAGAATCGATTGTGTCGAGACTTTTAACATCTGACAACAAACTTTCACCACATGCTTGCTAAATAAAGTTATCAGCATTTTCAAGATCAGGATACTGCCGTTTGCTTTTACCAATCCAATCGTGGTTTATGTCAATATCACAGGAACCAAATTCAAGAGATACATATATTTGTATATTGGGGCCTATTTCTGCCAAAGATATCCAACTAGATCGAATTTCTTCTTCATTCTTTTTCTGATCTTCTATATTATTATCATCACTGCTGTTACTACTACTATCTTCTTCAAAACTGTCTACTTCAAAGCCAATTAGGTTATTGAGGTTTGTATTGATTTCTGACAAATTATAATCATATAATTCTTCTCATGAGAGAGTATTGTAATTAGTGAACTAGTGGAGATTTTGGTGGCAGACATGAAGAAGAACTTTTGTGTGACAGAAATTTTGCTATTGTAGACTATTTCGCAAAGGGAGGACCAGGGCCATATACGTACAATATTGTTTTTGTTATACTTAATCCATTTCCCTTTGACAAATTTGAATGCAGGTATAGTCAGAAAAGTGAAAGATTCTTTAAATCATGCAGTCAATCCCAATACAATTGCAAAGGTGAAAGTTCTGTTTTTTTGGTGCTATTTACTTCATGACTAAATTCATCATAATCGTATTCTTTCTCACTACCACGGAGTCATTGTGGTACCTCTTTATTAAGGTTTAATGTAACAAAATTGCGACTACTGTGGTAGAGAGGAATTTCGAAAAGAGATGATATGTTTCCTGAGCTAAATAGTCATGCTCTGATATGGTATAAAAGAGTAGTTTTTGAAATGCAATAATTGCTTATTATCCGAGTTACTACTACTAAGAGCTTTGTCTAAGATTTTAGAGAATATCTGAGATCATGGTTTGGTTTTGCATGCATATTTAGATATATTGTAAAGTGGCATAAGTTGTAAATATAGGTTTAAAGTTCATATTTGCTCTCTACTCTGGAGTTGAAGTCAATTATACGGATTGATAAGAGAATCATTCCTGGCAGTAATTAATTCTGGGTGACTATGCTTATCAAATTGTACAAAAGTTTGATCTCTCAATTTTTTTAGAAAACCAAACTTACAAAATTGCTGACTTGTCTGTTTATTAACTTTTAAACACACAGATCGAAAACTAGTAAACCAGTAAATTTACTAATTGTAGATAAATTTTTAAATAAATACAAATAAATATTCTGATTATAAACTGATTAAATACTGATTATAGATTATTAAATAAT